CACAGCACGGACGGACCTCCAAAGATACTGTGCCGAGGGGAAGAAGCCAGCCTCGGAGGGTTACATACCAGGGGATTCCATGTATGTGACATCTTTAAAAGTGACATGTGTCGAGCGGGGTGGCACACGCTTGTAATCCCAGCGGCTCAAAAGGCTGAGGCAGGAGGATTGAGTTCAAAGCCAGCCTCAGCAAAGGTGAAGCACTAAGCAAGTCAGTGAGACCCTGTCTCTAAATAAAACACAAAATAGAGCCGGGGATGTGGCTCAGTGGTCGAGTGCCCCTGAGTTCAATCCCTAGTACCAAAAAAAAAAAAAAAAAAGTGACATTGGTGACATTCTTGGAAAGACACAACTATAAGGATGGAGAGCAGCTCCATGGTTACCAAATGCTAAAGGCGGGGCATCGGTAACCTTCCAAGGATGGCAGGAGGGACCTTGCTATGTGGAGGGGTGCGTTGATGTGCGGGTTCCTCACCGTGGTGCTGGTAGCTGCGTGAATCTGTACATGAGCTAAACGTCATTGAACAACACACCCAAACAAACATAATTTTACCATGTGATAATTTAGAAACAAAAATCAATTAAAATAGCAAGTGAATGCTGATAATTACCTTGCTCAAAACCTCCAACTTAGGATAGACTCCAAAGTCTCCTGCATGGGCCATGTGTCTCCAGCAGACCTGGCTTTGGGTACCCCTCTGATCACATCTTCCCTAATTTTTGCTTCCCCCTCCTCTCCACCTGCCCCGGGACTTGCTTCCTGTTCCCTCCTCTTGAAACTCTTTTCCACAGATATTTCCAAAGCCTACTCCCAAACTTCCTGGCTCTGCAGAACATTTATCCCACTTTATTTTTCTTCATGGCACTAATTACTAAGTGACATCATACAGCGTATTTGTTTTATGGTTATTTTCTACCTTCTCCACCAGAATATGAGATCCAGGTGAGCTGGAACCTTGTCTGTACTGTCCCCAACAGATCCCCAGCCCTTAGAAGGCTTCCTCCCAAAGGGTAAGAACTCCATAAATATTTGTTGAGCTCCCCGGAAATGGGCATTCAATAATGCAATTCCCAGGGATTTGAATTTGAAGCTATACACTGGCTTGAAAACTTCTTGGTCTCATCCCTCAAATCACCAGCTCACTTGGCCCCTGAGTGAAGCAGCCCCAGCCCAGAATATTCACATCAGTCATTCCTGCTTCAAAACTGTATTCAACTCAACATCTCCCTTCCAGGGCAACCTTCTGGTGCTTACTTAGGTAACGGGCATGAGGATGAGCCAGGAGGGGCTCGGCTGTAAGCACATGCATTCCAAGAGAAATGCCACGTGAGGGGTCCCAAGAGCTTGTAGAAAGCTTCCTCGAGATGCTACTAATGTGAGCAAAGTAGTGTGAGATGAGATTGAAGAAAGAAAGAAAGAAAGAAAGGAAGGAAGGAAGGAAGGAACCCAAACAACAACATCTCCCTGTAACACTTTCCAAGGAGAATGAATAAATTCACATTTATTGATCCTACTCTGTAGGTTCCAGGCTCTCTCTCCACATCCTCCATTATTCCTACTGTGCACCCTCTAGGGAGGTCCCAGGAGTCCCATTTTCACAAGTGAGACAAGTGAGAACACTGAACAGAGAAAGGTCAAGTGACACACCAAATGTCACACGACGATAGGTAACATCTGGCGTTTGAACTCAGGTCTGTGCCCCCTCCGAGCCCATTCTTTTAGAAACTTTGGATTTTAGAAGCAAAAGTGAACAGGAACCGGAGAATCCAGAAAGGCCAACCGGGATGTGAGGAGGCACATTCTTCTTTAAAACTTTTCAAAGACTGGCCCAGGCAAGTCTGGAAGGCCAGGGTGCCGGTCACCCTCCACCCACCTATCTATTCTGCCACAGTGCCTGGGCTGGGTGTTTCCACACGGATCATTATATTTTCATTATCATTAAAAACACTGAGCATGTATGGAAGTATTAGAGCTGTTTATGCAAACAGATGATGCAAACAGATCATGCAAACTGGCAAGCAAGCAAAGCACCTGAGAATCCTCTGTGTCACCTGTACCAGCTTATGGCTTGACAGTTACCTTAAAGACAGAACAGGAGGAAGACACAGACCGATTTTCTTTTTCTACCCTTTAGTCTAGGCCAGTGTTTTGCACACTGGTTACAGGAATTGCTGTTCAGGGTTGCATACACAAACACTATGTATAATGCATATTTTTGATGGTTAAAATATTTTCAAGGGTATTTTTGGCTATGCATAATTTCCTGCCTGTAGTATGGCTTTGGAACCCAAAGAATGAGTAAGACACAGCCCTTATGTACTCTGACTTCCTCTCAGTTACTCTTGGCTTGAGAAAGGATCAAGAAATCTTAGATTTATAAGGCTGTGAAGTCTGACTCCTGGCCAGGGCAGAAAGCTCTGGGGTTTCTGCCTGCTTCCAATAAAAAGGGCAAGTATGGTGGACTGTACCCCATGGACCAGCTCCTGGTCAGCGTACTCTTCCTAACTCCCACCAGCTGCTGTAGCTTTTTCCTCCAGACCTGTACAATAATGATAAGCCCTCCTCTTTCCTAGGATAATCGTTTGAATATTTGAAGCCTGGTGTTAGAATAATACTTTTTAAAAATGTGATAGTGATCATGAAGTGAATCAAGTACCCACCCAGCACTTTTTAATAATTACTGGATGGTTTTTGTTTCTGGGTGTATATCACCATTCATCTATGATATTAGCACCCCCCCCAACCCCGCCCCAACACACACACACACACACACACACAAGACAGATCCACTAATTAGTTAAGATTAACATTCTGGGAGCCGCACCTTAGAAACATGCAGCAGAGTGGGAAAGACAAAGAACAGAAACCATGTGGCAAGAGCTCTTACAGGCCAGCCTCACATGAGGGACAGGGTCAGGGGCTCAGCCCTCCACTGGGAAACATGACTGACTTGGGAGTGAGACCACTCATAAATGCTGCTCACATACTAAACCTGTTCCAGGAAAACGACCAGGTCTCACGCCAGCTTGCTTACTGCCCTTCATGTCCCAGACGCCTGCTACAATGCCAAGTGCCGGGCCTGTGTTCCATGGGTCTAGTCTGCTGGCCCTTCAAAGGGGCCTGGAGGTGAGAATAACTCAGTTAACCTCATCTCAAAGTTCCCAAATGAAAGCTTTAAAAACCTCACTAATGGCAAATACAGCTTCAGACACCGAGGACAAGGGGGCTGGGTCTTCATCTCTTGCCATCACAGAGTGACATGGAACAGATCACCTAACTTTGCTGGACCTGCACTGTCTCAGCTATGAATTGACAGATCTGTTCCAAACAACGTGGTAAGGTTCCTTTGAGACACGGTTGCTCTGCTTTTCTGTAGTCAGACAGTAAATTGGACCATCCCCAATAATCTGGGCGAGCAAGTCTCTCTAAAATCAGTGCACAGTTGCTAGTGAAAAGAAGAGCATGCAAGGAAGCGGTGGTAGCACAAGAATTCCAGATCCAGACCCACCCTCACCCTGCCATGTGCTGCCCCCTGGTGTATTCACCTGCCCAGGTTTAAATACCAGCCTTAACGTTGCCTCGGTGGATGATCTTGGGCAAGTCCTTCAACCTCCACACGCCTTGATTTTCACATCTGTAGGATGGAGTCAATTCCACCTACTCCCAGGGATGGTGAGAGAGGGCAATGACTAAAGTACACGTAAAGCACCTAGCACCCAGAGGACATAAGCTGCCTGGGTCCCTTTATTCAAACACTCTTTGCCCATCAACCCCACTTAATCAACAGGCTCCGATTCCAAAGGCTTAGTGCAATCCAAGGCACAGATGACCAGGTGAAACCAGCTGGTCTGACTCCTTCCTATCTCTGTGGTTTACAAATGAGGGAGGTGAGGCTCAGAGGGGCTGGTGACATGCTCAACGACGTGCTCTTCAGCAGCAAAGCCTCCACACTGAGTGGCAGATGTCAAGGGTCACACAAGACACAAAGAAAACCCTCTGCAGCCTCCATTCTCCCTAAAGAAATTGGGAACTCCCACGTATAACCGAATTCTAAAAAGAAAAAAATAGCAGAACTTTCTATTTCTGTATCTTTTTGGAAGGCTGCAAGAGACGGGTAGCATTGTAGTATGCCTAAGGAAGGCAAGGGTACCTTGAATCACCTGTGACAGGAAGCCAGTTTCCTGCAGGCAGCCCTTCCCAGGTCCTCTGCTCCCCACTCCTATCCCCACTTCTACTCTTCTGATCTGCCCCTTGGGCAGGCATGCACACACTGGGATCCTTCCTGGACAAGGTGAGAAGTTGCAAGCTGGGGTAATAATCTATAGTCCATTAAACACAAATAAGAAAACCATCGTAACCATGCCATCTACGACACAAGCAGGATTCCTCTCCCGACCCTGAGAGCCCCAACCTGGAACACTTACGAGAGTGTCCCAATTCATTAAGGCACACTGATATCTCAGGGGTCAGGAACCCAAAGGTTTCCACACCCTGCCCCCTCACCCAGCCCCGCACCCTCAAACAATATGCTCAAGCCTTCAGGAATGTCTGGAGAAATCCCAGCCCAGAGTCTGCCGTTCCACTCGTTCCACTCCGCTGAGGTAGAGCACTAGAGAAGGAGCCCAGACAATGTAAGGAGGGGCCTGGTTTAGAGCTGGCTTTAGAGATAGAGGCTGAGCGGCTCCCTTCCGGCCTCTGTTCCCCAAGGAAAGCCTTTATCTTCGGGAGCATTTACAGAAAGCTGCACCCAGGACATGTTCGTTTCTGGGTCCAAGAGAGCATATTTCCAGTGGTGCCTGTCAGTCTCTGAGGGTCCTAATCCAAGCCCCACATCGTGCACTTTAGCAAACAGATCCAGAGAGGGAGACTGTCCTGCCCAAGCTCACACCGCAGGCCACTGGCAGCCTGTACCTGACCTTCAGCTTAGGGCTGCTTCCTCCCACTGCCCCAGGGCTTCTCCCCACCAGACCCACTCCCTCTTCCAAAACCTTGGGCTCACCTCCTGGTTCTGAGGATTCCACCAGGTTGAACAAACGCTCAGAAGCAGGTGGCAGTTTAGCAATTCAACAGGGGGACAGGGGGCTGTGCCCATCCCAGGTGGCTAGGAGAGACTGCAGCAGGGAACTTTGAAAGGGCTCCGTTTTCGCTCAAGAATCCTCCTCCGTCTCCTCCTCCTGCCCCTCCTCAGTCCTCCTCCCCTGTAGTACTACGGGGGACATGTGCTCTGCTTGGGAGGAGGTGAGGAGGAGAGGCTGGCTGTTATTGGAAAGAGAAGGGTAACAGTCTGCTGGGCCCTGCCACATACTCACACCTAGCAGAAGCAGGGGGGCGGTGGGGGGATGGATTCTGCTGCCACAAAATTATTAACCCTTGGGCTCCAGCTCTGCTCCTCACACAGCAAAGCAGGAGAAACAATACACTTAACCAATGGAGTGCCAGTCCAAGACATTACATCACCAGACAGCACAGTCATTGGCTAATAATTCCTAGAAGGCAAAATTCTGCTTCTAGGTGCTTAACCCTTTCACCGTCACCAGAGCAAAGAGTATTTGGTCTAAACCCATGGTTCCTAAACTTGCTTCTAGCAGAACCATCTGGGGTGCTTCCTAAATGTACAGATTGTTACAGTCCGTCTCAGAACATCTAAATCAGAACCTTCCAAGGGAGCATGGAGATATATATATATATATATTTTAAACAATGAACAGAACATGAGGGACTCTGTATCTTCAAATGAGATAACATTATTCTGAGCATTGACAATGTGCCCAACACCTTGCGACATCATCTTATTTATTTCCTACACGGAGCAGTGAACATTATGGGTTCTGTTTCACAAATACACAAAGGAAGGTCCAGAGGAGATAAGTCACTTGCTCAAGGGATAAAGCCAGCCTGTTTGATACCCCTTCAAAGCTCCCACCTAAAGGGAAGCCAAGACATTGGTTTGCATGCTGCCTCCAGGATCACAGGACACAGAGATGCTCTTGATGAGATGGAAAGTGCCAGCGACCTGGGAATCCTGGGGAATGAAGGGAAGGGGAATTCTCAGAGCAGCTGTTCCGAGGTCACCGACCTCCAGGGAGTCTGCTCTTTCTCAAGTTCATTCCTTCTGCTCCTACTGCAAACCTAAGCCTCCTCCCACCTCCAAGCCTGAGATAGGTGTCCCTGCTCTTGCTTGTAAGGTCCCCAAATCTGTGGTCAGTTTCTTGTGTGATGGGTAATACCAGGCGATAAGAGCCATATCTACTTTCTCCACCGATGTAGGCCAGCATAGGACTGCCCTAGGTGAATACCCGGTCATGGCTCTAGGAGAGAAGGGAGGAAGGGAGGGAGGGATTTGCTTAGTTTCTAAATGACATCATGGTAGTCTGGAAAGGTAAGGGACAAGCAGTCTGGAGAGCCACATGAATATATTATCTGACCCTGAGCAAGTTCATTTTGGGGGGAATCTTTAATTTTGACATATGAAAATGAGAATAGTAGCACCTTCTTCTTAAAGTAGTAATGAGAATCAGAGTAAAAAAAATGATTGAGGACTTCAATTTTCTCCTCTACACTCTGTCCCTAAAACTCTTCTGTCTGATAGACTGGCAGATCTAAGTGCTACCAATGGCCATATTTATATCTGCAGTCCAGACTCACCTTCTAGACCCCAGACTTATGTCCAATGCCTATCTCCAAACAGATAGTTTATGAGCATCTCCAAAAGGGCACTTGAATTTTGTCCCACACGTACAGCCTGCTCCTGACCCGTTTCTTCCATTATGTGAATGGTGTTTGCATCTACCCAATCTTTTTTTTTAATTGAGGTGAAATTTATACCACACAAAATTAACCATTTTAAAGGATACAGTTCATTGGCATTTAGTATCTTCACAATGTATGTAGATACCACCTCTACCTAGTTCCAAACCATTTTCATCATCCCAAAAGGAAACCATTCAACAATTACATAGCCATGTCCCAGACATCCTTCTCTCCCAGCCTCAATCTGAGACATCAATCTGCTGACTCTATGAATTCACATATTCTGATTATTTCATAAAAAACTAACCATGCAATCTATAAATTTTGGGCCTAGCTTCTTTGATGTATATTTTTACATTTGCAAGCTCATTCATGTGGTAGCATGCAGTAGTACTTCATTTATTTTTATGGCTGAGTAATATTTTATTGCCTGTATAGACCACCTTTAGTTTACCCATTCACCCACTGATGGACACCTGGCATTTACGCAGTCTTAAACCACACTCCTGGCAGTCATCCTCCATCCCTTTCTTTTTTGTCTTTCCCCATTCTAACATATCAGCAAGTCCTGTCCATTTTACATCCCAAATAGAGTTCAGCTCTTTCTGCCTTCCTGCAACACCCTGGCCATCCTCTGGGCCAGACACTCGGATCTCTCCCACTAGCTTCTGGTTGGTTACAAGGTCCCATTTTTTCTTCTCTCTAATCCACTTTTCACTTTGTGGCTTTTGGGATCCTTTTAAAACATGACTAGGTCACCCATTCATTTAAGCAGCATTTACTGAGCACCTTTTGTCATGGAGTCTACCTCCTAGACACATGACAAAAGAAAAAAAAAAGAACAGGTATATGCTGCTAGATAAGGTCATTACTAGGCTTTACTTCTTTCAATGACTTCATTGTGCACTGAATAAAATCCAAGCTCCCCATGATCTTCAAGGCCCGTCAACTTCACACTCCCCTCCAATGGCTCCATGAAACTTATCCATCATGCTCCAATCATAGTGGGCTCCGTTCATTCATCTTGTGGTCCCTGGACAAGCTGCTCTATCTGCCTCTTGATTTTGGCATTGCTGAGTCTTTCTTATCCCCCATACCTCGGTGTGAATATCCCTTCTCTGAGTGACCTTCCCTGACTGCCCTGTGAAGCAGATCCACCCTTCATTCATTTCATTCATTCAAGAAATATGTGCTAAGCACTGCTGGGCTCTTGGGATAAAGTGATATATGATCCCCTGGAACCTGCAGTCTAGTGGGGAGAACCAGCAGCCAGGAAGTGGATAGATAAACGAGTCCTCTGAAGGGGGATCTGCTTTACACCGGAGGGACCAAAGGCCTTTCCAGGAGGTTATGTTGAAATTGAATCATGAGCGTCCACTGGCAAGAGCCCATCATTCCCTGTCACATCCTGGCTCTGCAGTGTGATGCTCCATCCTTCAATGTTTGCCTTTCAAGAGTCAAAGTACTTAATGTCCTTCTCTGTCTCCTTTAGTAGACTAAACTGTATCCCCAGCACCTAGGACAGCTCCTACTGCTTGGGAGGTACTCCTTACCCACTGCTTGAATTAACATGTGGCTAAATGAATGAACAATGAATCAAGCAATCCACCAACGAAAGCACTTTGTAGAATGTAACAAATCATATATTTGGGCCTGGTAATATAACTATTGTTTTGTGGCCAAAGGACATAGACCCTATTGGGTTTTGGATAAAGGCTGAGTTGCCCGCAAGATGAGAATAAAAGTCCCTAACTTTGAGTAATCCTGGGCAAGTATGAGAGAATCTGTAAACATAACGGGCACTCAATAATGGGATCCAGTGGCCACTGTGGCGTCATTAGTAGAGTCTCCTCATGAAAACTGATTTATTCAATTAAAACTCCAAAATTCATTTTCAGATACAGTCAAGAAACTTGAAGGAGAGAGAAATGAACACTCTCTTAAGTGTCTGCCAAGTACCAGGCACAGCACAAAGCACTATCTCACTTACTTCCCAAAGCTGTCCTGGAGTGTTGTAGTCCGCGCTGTGGGACGGCTCTCCAGGCTCTCCACAACCGAAACACTCATTACCTCCCCGGGTCCAGCTGCCCCAGGGAGTCCCTCTGCAGGAACCGTTCTGCTGAAGGGTCACCTAAAGTCATGCCCCCTTCCTGGGAGCAGCCTGCACCCACTGGCTGGTCAGTATGGGGCTTCAAAGGCCTGGCCCCTTGCCTTGTGGGTGGATCGAGGCCCCTCTCACACTGCATCACTGTCCAACTTCTCCCTCTGCCCTGTCCTGCTTCCCTCGCTGTTTATCCTCTTGAGGTGTAAGGCCACTTTTCAAGAATCTGCTTGCCTACAAATCTCAGAATTTCTGAGTCTTTTTTTCCATGGAATGCAACCTATGAAAGATGGTTATAGTGATTTCCCTTTATGAAAACAAACAAACCAACAAACAAACAACCAGAAATTTGGGAGACTGGAAATGTCTGCAAGGCACTTAGCTAAAGTGACTTTATGGTCTGATTTCCAAGTGAACCCATGTTCTTTCTTCCGTACCAATCTACACACAGCCCTGTCTCTGACAGTAGAGACTGGGCGCGTACAAAACAGAAAGAGGAGCCCGACGAAAGGAAAAAGGCACCCAGGGTTCCAGAAGGTGAGAAAAGGAGAGCAAGACACCCTTCAAAGTCCTCCAGAGGTCATCCTGGATGACAAGATCGAGGCACAGGCTCCAGAAACAACACAAGAATGATGTGCAGGTTGCAGAAGCAAGTGTCACGTGGGACACGGCTCCCACCTGAATCCATGCCCAGAAGCTGGGGAGCAGAGCTCCACGCCAGACAGCAGCCTTAAGGGGCCAGGGTTTTTGCAGCCAAGTCCCCCAAACACCAGCTGCTACTACTTACCAGCTTGCTGATGCCAGCCTCCGTGGATTGTCCACAGAGCTGCCAGAGTGACCTGAGCACTGGTTAGAATTCTTCCACAGCCCTTCTGCACCCAGGCCAAAGTCCTAAATATTCTTAAGGCTGCATTTTCAGGTCTGCACATGGATTAGCCCCCTGGCACATCGACATTTCCTATGTCTGATGTAGGATGATCTAATCAGGAGGCTTGACTTCTTAGTTCCTTTTTCTCCGAAGGAGAAAAATCAACCTGGAATTCCTGCTATGCCAGCAGAGCCCACCCCATCCTTCACTCACGTAGTTTTCAGTCTGGCAACCCCTCCCAGTCTTCCAAGTCCCCACTCATTGGCCACCTCCACTCTGATACCTCCCTTGCTGTCTACTGCACTGTGACCGTTCTTGTGACTATCCCTCAGCCCCAGGAGCTCCCCCAAGGCCTGTCTTCGTGCAGCTCGGGCTTAGCACGGTGTCTGGCGCTCAGCCCGCAGGAGCCAAACAAGTAGAGAATACATACAGCAGGCGATACACCGGGCCCGTCTCTGCTCTTAACTTGGCTACGCAACCGCTCTGAGATTTCTTCCTGCGCCTCGGGGTAACTGGAAATAGGAAAAGGCAGGACAAATCGGACCCTAGCCCCAGGGCAACAGGTCTTGAGGACTCTAAAGACTTAGGGCAGCTGCTGGGTGCAGAGCCCTGATCCTGCTACTG